AGAATCCAGCAGTATTAGAATGCATATATCTAATAATTCAACCATTATTAACGTCTCTCATGATATGCTCTACAGATACAAAAGCTAAATCAATACTTGGGCAATAATGCATAGCTAATGTTACACCTGTTATTATTTGAATTATTAAACATACACCTAATAAACTACCAAAATTTCAAATATAAGAAATATTACTAGGTGCAGGTGAGTCTATAAGAAATTGATTAGCTAAAGAAAGAATAGGATGTTTTTTTAAATTTTTCATGTATAATAAAATATTCTAAATTTTTTATTATTATATATATATACAATATACTATATTAAAATATAATTATTAAAAAAAAAAATAATTATTGAATAATACTTTTAATATTAAATAAAATTATAAATAAAATTTTATTTAATTAAAAATATAAATTTTTATCAAAAAATGAAATAAAATAAAATATAAGAATATATTATTAATTATTATGATAAAAATAGAAACTATAAATATAAAAAAATTAATTTTTAAAAATTTTAACTTCCTCAAAAATATACTATTATAAATAGTAATAATCAAACAACATCAACAAAATGTCAATATATTATACCTAATTCAAGACCTAAATTATGAATTTCAGTAAAATGTTTTAAACTTATTCTACATAATGCTATAATTAAAAAAGTATTACCCATTAATACATGAATAGCATGTAAACCAGTTAAAGAATAAAAAGTATTTCCATATATACCATCTGTAAAAGTAAATGGTGCATAATAATATTCAAATATTTGAAATCCAGTAAATATAGAAGCTAATAATATTGTTAAATAAAATGATATTAATAAATTAAATTTATATCCTTCTATTAAAGAATAATGAGCTCAAGTTACTGTGGCACCTGATGATAATAATATTATTGTATTTAATAATGGTAAACTAAAAGGATTTATACTTTCTATACCTATAGGTGGTCAACTACTACCTAATTCTACTGAAGGAGCTAAAGCAGAATGTAAATAAGCTCAGAATAAACAAAAAAATAAGAATATTTCTGAAAATAGAAATATTATAAATCCTATTTTTATACCATTTTGTACTTTTAATGTATGATGTCCTAAAAAAGTACTTTCTGTTATAACATCTTTTCATCATAAAATCATACTTAAAATTAAACATATAATACCTGTTATAAGAGTAATAGCATTAAATCCATTAATTTTAAATACTATTCCTAATGCTATTAAAAATAATGAAGATGATGTAGTTAAAGGTCAAGGACTAGTATCAACTAAATGATAAGGTTGCGGATAATTTTTTAATTGCATCTTATTTATTTAATTGTTTATTATTAATATTTTATTTAAATATATAATATTATATATTTTTTAGAATATCTTTTAAATTATATATTATACTTAAAAAAATAAAAAATTATAAAATAAAATATTATTTTATTTTATTTTTTTTTTTAGAATATTTTTTATTTAAATTGTATATATTATTATACTTTCAAAATGGAATAATAAAATATTATAATATTTTATTATAATATTTTATTATAATTAATATAAATATATATTTATATTATTATTTTTATTTTATTTATAATATTTTATTATTTATTTTTATTATATTTTTATAATGGCTAATCTTTAAATAAAAATATTATATTTTTATATTAAAATTATATAAAGAGATAAATTTATTTATAGTCATTTTTTTATTTCTATTTTATTATCTTATTCGTCTTGAATATAATCTTTTATAATTTTAAAAAACTCTTTATATACATATTTATATTAAATTATTTATTATTAAATTTTTAAATAATAAAAATTAAAAATTAAAAATTTAATGAGATTATTTTAAATATTAATTTATATTTTTAATAAATTATCTATTTGTTCTTCTGTAGGTATTCTAATCTCTTTTTTTGGTTTAATTTCATTTGATCTACCAAAACAACTTTTAATTCCAGATTTAAATTCTCTAAAAAAATTTTTAAAACTTTCAGATGGGCTGTATGCTATAAAAGATTTATTATTATAATCTAAAAATTCAGAATTTTCTTCAAAATTTTCTAATCATTCTAAAAATTTTTCATGTGATACAGTATTAAGAACTATAGGCATACCTAAATGAAATATACCACATAATTCAGAACATTGCAATAAACAATACAATTATTTAAATAAAAAATTATAAATAAAAAAAAAATCCTTATATTTTTTATTATTTTTTTAATATATTAAGTTTTTCTATATAAATTTATACCTAAGAATTAAAATATATTACAGAATTAATAATACTTTCAAAACTTCTACGGGGTTCGTCTTCATCTGAAACCTAAGATAAAAAAAAAATTTTTTTTTTTTCAAATTATAACCTTAAACTAATAAAAGTTTATTTATTTTATATATTTAAAAAGAATTTTAATAAATTTATGATTTTTATATTCATTAATTATAAATTTTATTTTTTAAAAATTATTAGATAAAAGTTTATTTATATACTTACAAAAAAAAAAAGATGAAATACTTTTTAATTTATACATATTGAATAACAGCAATGCTTTTACTGGTTAAATCTAATTTTATTTAATATTTTATATAAGATGATAAAAAAATCTAAATTTAAAGTAATATTTATAAAAATATTATTTACATAAATATAACTTTTCTAAATTTCTAATATTAGAAATATTTTCTATTAATACTTTATGTATATATAATTTTTCTTTTTTTTTTTTATTTGTAAAAATTTTAACAGATATATTATTATTTATATATATTAATATTAAATAATTAAATAATAAATAATTATTTAAATAAAATATTTTAGTATTTAAATACTTTCTACAAATTTCAAGCTATATAATTTAAACTCTTTTAATTCTATTTAAAATTTAGAAAAATAAATAAGGATATTGCATAATTAATCATAAATATATCTATACCTTTAGAAGATTCTATATTAACTACTCTTAAAATATTTAAATTTATTTAACAGAAAATATTGTCTTAATTATTAGGGTATCTTAATAATCCAATTTATTATAATCTAACTTTTATATTTTTAATTTGAAAACTTTTAATTCATATTTAATTAAAATAGGTAAAAATTTTATTCATTTCAGATATCAGAAAGGATAGACCCTCTCCGGAGTTAAAGGTAAATCTTTTTTTTATAATAATCCATTTTGCGACTCAGTTAATGAGATCCAGCTTATATATTTTAAATCTGTATTTTTATGTATAAACATATATACACTTGAATATTTTCTAGGTATTTTAATTTACCTATTAATTTATCTAAAAATTATTTATTTTAAAATAAAATTATAGGTAAATCTATTTCTATACTTTTAACTTTTAATAATTCATTAAATTAATTATTAATAATTAATAAATTTTGATTTAATATAATTTTATTTATAATCGTATAGGTTATAAGTTTATTACTATTCATAAAATTTATAGCTAAATATTTCGCAGCATTGCTGCGAAATCTCCTATGAGAGAATTTAGATTTTTATTAAAAATTTTACTTATTTTTATAGAAAAAAAAAATTAATAATATAATAAAAAATAAAATAGAATTTATATTTTATTTATAAAATTAATTATTTTAATAATTAGTTTAATAAACTATTTGTAAATTTCCCTAAATATTTAAAAATTAAATATTTATTTAACAGAAATTATAATACTTATAATTTCCTGTATCTTTTCAGATAGGGTTTGACTATATCTTAAGCATTATATTAATAACACCAATCACCATTTAGTCGATGAACTGTATACCGTTTAATTATAAAATAAATAACGGTACTTGGCTGCGGATTACCTATAAAATTATAAATCTTAATTTTACCATACCACTAATCATTACTTGTGCCAAGAGCTGTCTTACGACGCTCAGTTGGTTAAGATTTCTTTAAGGAATTCCCGCAATTTGATGATTAAAACAGTACATTTAATACCGTCATGGCCAATATTCTGACCATAAAAAGTTCCTAATCTATCAAAATTAGTTGTTACAGCATTTAATCTACCTGGTACGGAATCCATTTTTATTCCAGCCGAAGGCATAGCAAAACTGTGTAAAACATCACTAGAAGAACAAATAAATTTAATTGCTGTTCCTCCAGGAATAACAACTTCATTATCTACATCTAATAATCTAAATTGTCCTGATTCTAAATCTTCAGTAGGTACCATAAAAGAATCAAAATTTATATCATAAGGAAAATCAGGATATTCATAACTTCAGTATCATTGATGACCTATTACTTTTATTGTTAAATCACCTTCTGTGATTTCATCTGTTAAATATATTAATCTAAAACTAGGTAAAGCAATACTAAAAAGTACAATAGCTGGTGAACAAGTTCAAATAATTTCTAATCTATAACTATGATTATTATATTTTAAAGAAATGAATTGACCAATAAATTTTAAAAATATAGATATAAATAATCAACCTATTAAAGTAAATATTATTATTTCATAATAATAAATTGACCCATTTAATCTATCTATACCTTCCATTGAAGAAGTTACACTATCTTGAAATGATATTTGTCATGGTTCAGGAGCATCATTAAATAATAAAAAAGTTAAAAATAATTGTTTCATAAATAAAAATTTATAAATTTTTAGGGATCGATTAAATAAATAATTAATTATTAATTTTCAATTATATTAAAAAATATAACTATAAATTAATATGGAGATAAAGAGAATTGAACTCTTACTTTAGCTTTGCAAAAGCTATATACTACCATTTATATTATATCCCCTTTATATTATATAAATACGGCTTTGACCGTCTACGAAACGGCAACTAATTGTCTGACAAACAATTGCTTTCATTAAGCTACAAAGCCTTATATTTGCCATTAATCCGACTCGAACGGATATTCTCTTTTTGGAAGAAAGATCGTCTACCAATTAACCTATAATGGCTTTTATAAAAAATATTTTAATTATAATTATTTTTATTATAATAATTATACGGATGGTGGGATTTGAACCCACATAGTATTATATTACTATCATATCCTAAATATGACGTGTTTACCATTTCACCACACCCGTTAATTATTATAATTATATTATAATAATTTATTATATCCTTTACATATATTTATATATGTATTATTTTTTATTTAATTATTTAATAATTTTATCCTAATTAATTTAATAAAAACAATTATAATTTATACTTAAAATATAAAAAAAAATATTATATAAAAAAATAGAATAAAAATATTAAATTATAATTTAATATTTTTATAAAATAAAAAAAAAAATAAAATAAAAAAGTAAAAATAAATAAAAATTAGATCTAATTTTTATTTAATAATATTTTTTTCAAAAGTTAATTTAGGTAATTCTTCTATATAATGAAAAGGTGTAGGAGAAGGTAAAGTTCATTCTAAATAAGGGGCATTTTTAATAGAAGAAAAATTAATAGAAGGATGAAATAATTCTAAATTTTCTCAGTAATTTTCCATAGATAAATTTTCAATAAAAGTTAATTGATCATATAACATATATAAAAATATGATTGTACTAAAAACTGAAATTAATGATCCATATGATGAAATAATATTTCATCCTATAAATGCATCAGGATAATCTGGAATTCTTCTAGGCATCAATTTTGTTATATATAGGCTAAATACCTAAGTTCCCCTTGTTACCAAGGGGTTCAGACTATGTCTTTCAGTTTTATTTAAACTGATTGGGCGCTTTTGTTTATAAAATTAAAACAATACGAGGTTATTGTTAATACTACTCACTCGTTAGTCGTTGAACGTTTTTATTTCTAAACAGATCCATACGATCCGCTGTATTGAAATAAACTTCGCTACAAATTATCCTCCGTATACGGAGGATTTCTTTGCAATTCACCCAATTTTCTAATAGAATCTTTAAAGGAATCTATAGAGGCATTTAGAAATTAATGTAATTTAATTCGTGAAAATAATTTATTTTTAAAGGGCAATCCATTATTCAAATACTTAGTTAAAGTATCTTTTCCCATTTTAAATTCTTTTGAACATTGCACTGTAGAATATGAACCTAAAAAATTTTTAGTTTCAGATTCATATACGTAAATGAATTTTTGTAATTTAGCTATAGTTCCTGCTGATTTTTTAATACCATACATAGGATTATTTTTTCCTTTTTTATTTCGAGTTTGCATAATAATAAACTCAGGAGAAAATATTTTACCAAACATAGGATTTAATTCACCTGAACGATTTAATTTAAATTTCTCTGAATGTTTAAAACCTAAAGTATTTCCCGCTGTAGGAGCTAAATTTAATATAGAATCATTTATAGTATGCGCTTGTTCTTCTTTTCTCTGCTTAAATAAAATATCTAGGTAAAATTGTTCCCGCTTTAATAAATCAGATTTAGATACGTTATTTGTCTGTCCTAAATCCTCTAAAATAGCTAAACAAAAATTATTATGACCATATTTACTAATACTATTATATATAGGATTATTCCGTTTTAATATACTAGGTGTTCAATAAGATAATAATCGATTTGATCCGTTTCAAGCACTACCTATATAAATATTACCATTAATTAAATTAAACCATTGATAAATTATTGCTCGTTTTCGATTTTCAACTCCTATTAAATTACGATTTAATTTAGGTTTATATAGGCGAATAGGTTCCTTTAAAAATTCGGGTTTTAAATAAGGGCCATAAGGAAAAATAGTTATTATATTACAAGGCACTACTGCACAAAATAAATTATTATTTAAAATTACTTCTCCAAATATTTGTTCTGACCCTAGAGTCATAAATAAGATAGAAGTAAATAAATGAAAATTAAAATTTTTTACATTTGATGTAATTTCATACATACCGGCTAAACCTAAGAAATGTTGAGGGAAAAACGTAAGATTAACTCCAACAAATAAAGTTCAGAAATGAATTCTACCTAATGTTTCATCATATGATTTTCCAATTATTTTAGGTGATCAATAATAAAAACCAGCAAATAATGAGAATACAGCACCCATTGATAATACATAGTGAAAATGCGAAAATTTATACTTATAGTATAAAAGCAGATCATAGTTTTATCTTATATAAATAAAATCTATTAATTAATAGCTTTCGCCTAAAGTATTTACTCTTTAAAAAGTTTAGTTTGTAAATTAAATCCTTTATATATAGTATTTTTATCTATTCTTTTATTAATAGTTCTTATATTTGTATATCTGTATCCAGTTAGGTCTTCCAAATAATCCCCTTTAGAAAGTTAAAATTTATACTTATTTGAGTTAGGATTAAAACCATATATAGTTATATTTCGTTTTTCTTTAACAGTTGAACCCAATTTTATAGGTAAAATTTTTAAATTATCAGATAATCAATCTTGTTTAAGGGGAAAGATATTACAAAATCTTTATACATAATGGCATCATGTTCAAAAGAACTAAGCTCACTAATTATTTGTTTAACAAAATATAAGCTAATTTTTAAATAAGCAGATAATTTTGCTTCACTGAGAAATAAGCACTCAAATTTAAGAATTTTTTTAGAATTTACCATAGGCGAATTCCGCAGCAATGCTGTAGAATATACAAAAATACTAAATTTACCCCTAGACTCAGATCATAGAGTTTTTAATTCATCTAAATGAGTTTTATCTCATATAAAAGCTTTCTCTTCTTTATTATCATAAGATGGATTATTAATTCCTTAATTTATAGAATCCATTAAAGTATTATATTTAAAACTAGCAATCCTATTAATATTATACTCCAATATATAATTATCAAGAAAGTTTTATTCCATAGAAATAAAATTAGGTATATTATTAAAAAACTTACTATCAAGACCCAAAGGAATTGAATTCTACACTAAAATAAATAAAGAAAAATATTCATACCCATATTAAAGTAAAGTTTGGCATATTGCACTTTCTCTATCGCTTTATAATCTTAAATAACTAGGTCTATAATATGCAATAAGTTTTAAACTTAAATTTCTAGAGCTACCTATATATTATTTACCTGTTTCTTTATTAGTTCATAAGTAATACCCACGCTTATCTTTAAAATCAAAGCAAATCTGATGTTTATTTAGAGAAGGATTTACAAAAGTAAAAGAGTCAGAAGGAAAGTTTACGATTTTCTTAACTACTAGAGAGGTAGAATAAAAACGTTTTTGACATCTAAGGTAAATATTTTTAAAAAGAGTAATTTTAACATACTTTTGAGCATAAGAGTTATTTTTATAACTCTTCACTATATAAAAAATATTAGATAAATATATAAGTAAAAAAAGAAAATATAATTTATAAAGTATAAATTGTGGACTGTATAATTACCAGTAATAAATATATTATAAATCTTTATATAATAGATATTTATTAATACAAGGAATCTTATATCATAAAGGATTTTCATATCTTAATAAATCTATTATAAAATTTGAATATATTTTATGTTCTAGACTATATTTAGGATATGTTTTATATTTTCTAATTTCTATAAAAGGTTTAATTTTAGTTACTCTATAAAATTTAATATCACAATATAATCTATTATGCATAAAATAATCATATATAAATAACATATTATTAACATTTTGAAATTTAAAAGCAATAGATGTAAAAATTTTTGGACCTTTCACTTTAGAAGTTTTTTTACGTTTAATAATAGTAGGTTTAGAATTTAATATAGTATTATCTAAATTTAATTTAGATGTATATTCATAATATTTAAATTCTAAATTACATTCTATTCTATTACCAGCATAATTATATACTATACTACCATCAGTATCAACTAAACCTGCAAAATATGAGTCATATAATTTTATATTATAATTAGCTTCAATATAATTTATATTATATATATTACAAGCTTCTTTAAATCCAGGTACTTTTAATCTAATTAATCCATTAATATTTTTAATAATATATATCATATTTTCTTTAGTAGATACTATATACATAGAATAAGGTTTATTTTTATCAATTCTTATTCTACCAATATGTAAAAAATCTTGTATACGTTTTAATATTCTAATATCTCTATTATGTAATTTTATTCTAATTTGTTTAAGAACTTTATTATTATTAATAGGATTAATTCTAATATCAAAATTACCATCACCATCTATTACACCTGCAAATCAATTTCAAAATTTATAATCTTCTTTTTCTGGTATCTGACGTACAGTCTCTGAGAATCCTTTACAGTTTTCTGCTGATTGTATATTAGATTTATTTAAATCTTTAATATTATTATTTTGACTATTTAAAAGAATAGCATAATTCTTACTAACATCTAATTTATTAAGATAAAACGTATTAATAAATAGTAAATAATATAGGAATAATATAGTTCCCAGCATATAGTCAGATGCTAAATAATTTAAAAAAGAAAAATTATTCAGGCCCATTTGAGCGACAACGAAGTATGTATCATGAAGACTCGTATCGATACTTGCATTTGCAAGTACAATTCCTGTAAACCCACCAATAGTGAATAAAGCTAAAAATCCAAAACAGAATAACATAGGTGTATCTAATCTAATAGATCCACCATACATAGTTGACAATCAAGAGAAAATTTTTATACCAGTAGGTAGACCAATCATCATAGATGTGAAATAGCAGATTAACCCCTTGTATAGCAAGTTAGTTAAAAAGCCTTTCCCGAACCGTACGTGCAAGTTTCCCTGCATACGGCTCTCCAGAACGATATATATCGTTCCTGTTCCCCTTCCCAAATAATGGATTAGATTATTTATTGGTACTATGAGAACTCCGTTACCCAAAAGATCTCACGATCTAATGGGTAATCCCTAATTCTTATTAGAAACCCATATATATACTTTTAGGTACCCTAAAAATTATTACTTAAATTTTATATATAAAATTTGTTAAAATCACAATTTAATAGATTCTTTCTCAAAATATACAGCCGCTTATATTTTGCTATATGTGATTAATTTACTGGGTTCGTTTTCCTTACCATGAGTATCGTTATTCAGAAATGACCATGCTCGCATCTTGGATGCGAACTAAATTTCTTTTTTAAACATGCTATTGTC